TTTTCAATATTTGAAATTTGAAAAAAAAATAATATTTGAAGAATAATTCTTTTTAATTTCTGAAATCTGAAGTGAGAAAAAATTGACCCCCCACAATTTCTTTTTAACCCCCCTCCCCTTTTCCCCCCAAAAAATTCTTTCCCTCAAGATATGGTCATAATCTCAATTCAAAGGAGTAAGTTCAGTAAGACACCTTTTTGGCCCCAAAATATAGCAGTTTTACAAAATTGTTAGAATTTAAACTTCTAGCTATTAATTGGAAAGTAGAATACTTCTGCTATATAAATATGGGTTGTTTTTGACAATACAGTGCACATATATCGGGTACTAGCATCATTAAGTCATGCTAAATTACTGAAATCTTCACAATTTTAGCATTTTAGTTAAATTTTAGACGGTTTTCGTCTTAAATGGAAGTGGCCGCATTTGTGTTCATTCTAAATATTTAAATGTAAGTTGTATTTGATGATAATAAATAATATATATAAAGGTTGAGAGTGAACACGGATGCGGCCACTTTCATTTTTGACAAAAACTATCTGAAAAGTGACATATTATGGCATATTTGATAGATTTTTCATATTTAAGATTGAATTTGAGTGCCTTTAATGATAAAATCAGTTCAAATCTTTCACATAAACTAATTGAATCGACTGAAGTAGAAACCTAAGTGTTTAAAAAGTGTCCAAAATCTTTCATCAGATGAACCTGAAATTTGAGGCCAAAATCGGCTCTTACCGGACCTACTCCTTTCCAATGGAATTTGCAACCATAATTACCCATTTAAATTTACCATAGTTCTAACTTAACCTATTTTATAATAGAATTTAAAATATGGTGTCAAATCTTTCATATGGAATTTTTTGTTAAAAAAAAAGATGCAACATTTGCAGATATTTTTACTGGTCTTCCTTTATAAATATGCATTTCTTTAAACATAATTTAAAAGCAGTGTAAGGGAAGTAATCAAAACGTTGAATGTGGATTACCTCCCTTACACTGTTTTAAATTGTCTTAATTGTTCATTAACCATTACTTTTAAAAGCAGTGTAAGGGAGGTAATTCAAATGATGTATTTGATTTATCTCCCTTACACTGCTTTAAATTATGTTTTGTACTAAAGTATTTGTCCATATAAAAATGCTTGTTTTTTGCCCCTTTTTTGGCTCCTAATTCCTAAAATTGTGAGGCAATTACCCCCAAAATCAATCCCAGCATTCCCTGTGATATGGAACCTTGTGGTACAATGTCAGAGAGATCCATACACTAACACACAATTTATGTCTGTAAGTTACAAAAATGCTTATTTTTGGCCCCTAATTCCTTAACTGTTGGTACCATAACCCCCAAAATCAATCCCAACCTTCCTTTTGTGGTATTGAACCTTTTGGTAAAATTTCATAGAAATCCATTCACTTAAACTAAAGTTAGAGTGCTAAAACCAATGTGTCTTCGGACGACGACGCCAACATCATACCAATATACAACCTCAAAATTTTTTTGCGGCCGTATAAAACAAGAAAAATTTGCAAATTTGTATCAAAATACCAATAACAGCAAAATGAAGAGGTGAACAACATTTTGATTTTATGAAAATATGCTAGACTGTTATAAAAGGTTTCAAGAAAATGATATGGACTCTTTAATATTCAAATTCCTGTGGGATTTGAAACTTCAATATTTACCATGTGCATTAACATATATAGGGGAAATTGGTCAGACCTCTGCAAGGGATAAAAAGGTGGCATTTCGATACCTCCTTCTTTGTTGAAGTACCTATTTCATAAAATTGATCTTACATTTAACCGTTAAAACTACTGATGGTTCAAGTTTTATTACAATCAAAATTTAAAAATCTATTAAAAACTACTGGAAATGCAAATGCACCTTAAAATGGATGTAAACACCTTTGAATAATTTTCGCCACAATTTACAACTGTACATGTATGTTCACCTGGTTTCCCTTTACATAACCTCATTTGAATTGTGGAACTGTTAAAGCAACACATGTGATCCAAACAGAAAATCTATTAAGGACAAATGTGTCAAATAATGATCCAAGCCAAATCTGTGGAACTGTTAAAGCAACACATGTGATCCATACAGAAAATCTATTAAGGACAAATGTATCAAATAATGACCCAAGCCAAATCTGTGGAACTGTTAAAGCAACACATGTGATCCATACAGAAAATCTATTAAGGACAAATGTATCAAATAATGACCCAAGCCAAATCTGTGGAACTGTTAAAGCAACACGTGTGATCCATACAGAAAATCTATTAAGGACAAAAGGTATCAAATAATGACCCAAGCCAAATCTGTGGAACTGTTAAAGCAACACATGTGATCCATACAGAAAATCTATTAAGGACAAATGTATCAAATAATGACCCAAGCCAAATCTGTGGAACTGTTAAAGCAACACATGTGATCCATACAGAAAATCTATTAAGGACAAAAGGTATCAAATAATGACCCAAGCCAAATCTGTGGAACTGTTAAAGCAACACATGTGATCCATACAGAAAATCTATTAAGGACAAATGTATCAAATGACCCAAGCCAAATCTGTGGAACTGTTAAAGGAACACATGTGATCCATACAGAAAATCTATTAAGGACAAATGTATCAAATAATGACCCAAGCCAAATCTGACAGTTTTAGAGTGTAACAGCAAATTAATCTGAGATAAATCACTTTCTAACGGACAACTGTTTTGAAGATTAAACTGTTTTGTAAACAATATAACTGACCTGTTCTTTATTAGTTTATATTTTGATAATCAAATAAAGACTTAATTAATGAAAATTTTAATATTTTATGAAAATATATACAAATACAAAACTTTTTTAAATACAACTATGTATTAATGTTTTGATATTTTCGGTAATACTGTGAAATTTAATACATGCGATTTCATCAGAAATACCAATTTCGCGAAAAATAAGTACACGTGAAAAAAAGTACATATGAAGTATTTTGCTAAGACACATGTATATTGTTTAAATAGTAGAAGTATGGTGAAAGAGGGAGTAAAAGGAAGATTCATTCTCCAAAGTGGAGAATTTTATCTCTCTGGCAAGAGATTGGTCTTTAGAGCGATATTTTCAAATTTCTGAAACTACTGAGAGATGTGTATCAATACCTCTAAAGACTATATGAATAATATACCGACTTTAAATTTCTCACAATGAAAGACCAAATGAGCTAAAAAATAAAATTGAAAAAACAATTTATGCATTTTTTATTTAATATAAAAACATACACAATGTTCCATACATTTGAAATATGAATGAACTATTGACATAGAAATAAATACATGATCGATACATGCTATGGATTTAAATATCAAATCAGATCTAATGAATTTCTGTTGATACTTACATGGGAATTTTAAATGAAAAGTGTATACAGATATCTAAATATAGTGAAACTATAGGTACAAATATTTTGTGAATAAAAAGATAATTAATCTTATTTCTAGATAATGTTGATTTCCTGATCCCTTTTGATTTGGTAATGGTTACTCAGATCCTTAATTACGTTGTAAAACTTTAGAAAAGTAAAGTATTGTTGGATGTAAAATGATAAAGACGGTTTCTGCAGTAAACTTTGAAATGTACTAAAAATATTGTAGAACACCACTGTAACCAATATACTTTTCAAGGCTGATGACTGAACTAATCTGGTGACATTTTGTTAAACTGACAGAATAATGTGAATAACTTGACTTAAAATACTGGCCAAATCCAGACCAGAAAAGTTTGGTGATACAGATTTAAAATACAGATGATCAAAAGAAGGGAAAATATTGAGAAATAACAAAATCATAATGAAAACTATAACATGAAGTTTAAAATGTGATAGAGAACTACAAAAAAGACTAAAAATATCAAAAGACATCTACAGTTCAACAATACAAAAGTGTTGTTTCAATATGTAAAGCTCTAAATCACCTGAAGTATACAAAGTTGTGAATTATTTTTTATAGAGACTACCTGCCAGCTACATCAAATTCCCTAAATAACATTCACATATTACCAACGACAAGGTTCATAACTTGTGATGGCCATATGAATATGAGTAGGGTCCAACTAGTATTTTATAAACTTCCTCTTTTTGATCATGATCAGAAGAATAGAAAGATACAAGGAAGAACGTACAATATAAATCAGTTCAGAAAAAACACTTATTTCTTTAATACCAGAAAATACACACTGGTAAAAAGTAAAAATACTACTAAATAATAATGTATCAAAGAATGCTCACAGTTACTGAAAACGAAGCACAAAGATTTTCATCTCCTGATCTAAACATCTGCTGTACTCTAGACTGATTTTTCATTTATATACAATACTTTTATTACATGATACTAATATACAAGTCTAGCATACCAAATTATAAGCTTGGTATCCTTGATGAGTGTATACAATTTTGATATACTAACTGTTATTTAATTAATACTAACATAACAATTTTTTAAATAAGTATAATTGTAAAATAATCTATGCAAATTCCAGAATGTGATTTTACAAAAACAATTGTATACTTGGAATAAGCATATGTTACCCTTACATTTCCATCTTCTTTGAAATCAAGCATATGAAATTTACATAAAGACAATAGATATTGTTTCCTTTAATAATGCAAGGAACAATTCAAAAGAAAATACCTTTTGAGTGAAGATTGATAGATTTTGATCATAAAGTAGATACCATATAATCTGCACTCAAGTATTTCTTCAATATATAATAATTTAAATTCTAGTTAACAAATAGTATATATCAAAAACAGTTTTATATGTAAATTGTTCGCATCTTTCTGTATTGGTCTATGGATAGTTATCTCATTTGAAATCATACCACATCTCTTTATTTTCACATCATGTAAAGTGTGCAATTATTCTTTGATCATGTAAAGTGTGCAATTATTCTTTGATAAAAGCTTAAAATAGAGCAATTTCAGATGCTTGTAATAATATCATTAAACATCTATGTTATTTTTTTTTAAAAAAGAACTGAAACTTTGTAATAATTGATAAAGTATGTAGTTTTCAACCACATTTTTAAGTAAATGTTTGTAACAAAAAAAAAAGCTAACACAATACACATTTTCTTATCAGGCAATCGCACCACTTAAATGAGAAGAAAATATTTAAATTTCAAAAACTTCTTATGACTTTTTTGATGAACATCTTGTGTTGCAATTAAGTAATACAAAATTCTTTTTCATTAACATAAACACCTTCAAAGTAGACATTGACAATAGAGTAAACATTTAGTTATTACTGAGTCCTAGCACTGCCAACATCATCAACTGCTGTTCCAAGTTACAATCCATCTTTACATGAATACTTAGGCTATAAATGTGGTGAATTACTGATTATGCTTCACTTTCTCCTTCAATTAATTCTTGGTCATCTAATATAGGTACAATTAAGTTCTCTTTGGACATAAGATTGTACTTTGTCACAAATATTGTAAATCTTTTACACAGGTTGGTCTCATTCTAAAATACAAAAAAACAGCATAGTTCAGTTAAAACTGCTTTTAAAAGGAAGAACATCTGTTGTACAAAAAGTAACTGTAGAAGTGTTGGTACATGTAATATAACGACTCGATTAACAGCCTGATTTTTTAATGCAGCAATAATGTTAACCGTTTTTTCCTGTGGTGTGTGTTGCTTAATCTTTTGTTTCCTGGTGAAAATGTGTGAAAATCATCATTTTAGGGCAAATACTCACATAAGGAGCAGTCTGGTAATTTTGGTGGATATAGAAAGAACCAAAATCTAGGTAAGATTTTGACATTCTGAGAATTTTTGCCATTTTTAGATTTTCTTTCATCTTTTATGGTTTTTAGCGTATTACTGTGGTTTCATTATTATACCTTGGATACCAATTTTCATGGATTTCGTTGGTACAGGTGAACCACAAAAATAAATGTTCAATGAATAACAAATTTTCTATAGGCTTGTATGCAGACTTCGGCAAAACCACTAAATTAAATATCCACGAACATGGGAGTTTTCCTTAATCCACGAAAATAAATGAATCCACAGTAGATAATTACTTGTATTTCACCCTTATGTTCACTTAAGCCATGGCAGCCACGTCAGTTGATTTGCAAGAACAAAAACATTTTTTTAGTGGATACCCTTAGGATCATTTAGTCCAAGTTAGGTTAAAATTGGTCCATTGGTTTGAGAAGATGTTTTTAAAAATTAACAAAAACAGACACTAAGTGATTGCAATAGGTCACAGGACCAAGTGAGCTAAAATCAGGTCTGATATGGCAACATAAGTAAGAGTCGTAACTGGTCATGCTGGTACTGGCTGTAATATAAACATTTATTTTATAATGTTTGTTTATGCACTATACCATAGTCATTCAAATGCTTTCAACAGTAAAAATATCAAAAACTTTACTTACTTCATATTCATCAAATAATGTTCTATGATGGAAGTAAGCATGTGAAAATATCCTATAAACTCTTCTACATACTGATCCTAGTTTAGCTACTGATGATTCCTTTATACTCACCCTGAAAATACGTCAAATTTTGTTAGTTTGTTTTTCTTGGTGATGTAAATCACCTGCAATACTAAATCAGTGTCATTCTAATAACAAAATCAACAATAATGTTAATCAAAAATATTCATTGGTCAGAAAAAGCTCTCAATCAAAAGTATAAATATCCTCACACCACCACTATTTGGTTACAGGTGAGTTTCTGATTGTGCTATAAGAACATGACAAGCTTGAAATAGACACCTTGTTTACTAACCTGCTTGGGAAATATTTATTACTATTTAATAAACATGCAGCTCCATCTAGTGTGTGTCTTGTGTAATCTATTGCTGGACACTGAAATTAAACAATTATAGGTATACAGTAATTCTTAAGAGTATCATTATCCCTGTCATCAATATGTATTTGATACACGAATGAGGGTGTTAGCCCAATTTGGTGAATCTAATTTACACCAAGATATCATTGTCAATGCAGAATGATAGTTTTAAGTAATTTAGGAGCGGGTTCTTTCAGCGATTTGACCATTTGTTATTGAAAAGCATGATAAATTTCATTCAGACATCTCGGTGTAAATATATATATATACAAGTCTAAATTGAAAACAACGTTCAAACCTATGATTGCGTTGGATAAAAACCGCAGTTTTTATACGTGTGCATGCAAAACAAATTTCTTGTTAGAGAGGTCTAAATACAGCTGTATAGGTTTGAACGTTGTTTTCAATTTAGACTTATTCATATTTTTTTGTTTGGGTTTGTATTATATTTGCCTTCAGGTTTATATGATCCGTTCATCTTATTTCAACTCTTCAAAATTCAAGAGTCTATCCTGAATTGAGGTAAATTATATGGCCTTCCAAATACCGTTTCGATTCCTAACATCACTGAAGAGACATTAATTGTCGAAATCCGGATATGGTGTACAAATTTTTGCACCTCATGTTTGCGGTATACCATCTTTCCCGCAAGTCAGGGTTTCTGCTGGTGGTCGTCATTTTTAGCATTTTGCGATAAATTAATAATTGTGGCGATTAAAATTCTCATTTGCGAAAGAATTTGGCGAAAGAAATATATATAACGATTTGGGTTTCTCTGACTTTACCTGATCAGACAATACTCGGAATTGACCTTGAACTCGTTAAGATTTTGACAGAAAATCAATAATCAGCTGATTGCATTTTATAACTGAAGGCAACAAAAGACAAGTTAATAAAGGTGTTAATTGTATTGTTTGACAAAATGATATGGTTAAATGGCGTCCGTCACATGTCACATAAAGGATTTACTAACCACTTTGCAACGCATGTGTTTGAAGCAAACTTTTGACATCTCCTTTCCATCTTAAAATAATGATGGTCCGAAAAGGAAAACTGTTGTTAAGATGAAAAATGTTCATATCAAGAAAAATTTCCGACTTAAAACTTTATCCTTTGACTTTGATATAGAAAATTGATTTGAGAGGGTCGTTTTGGCGACACACGTGTTTCAAGCATAGTTTACGTCTCAACTTTTTCATTTATGATGGTTCGGAAAAGAAAACTGTCCTTATGAAGGAATATATTCAACAGGTTGGGAACAACCACTCACATGAGGGGAAACCCTTCAAAATAAATGACTACCCTTTAACTGGGACTATTATACTATAATAGTTCCAGCCTTTAATGAGGGATCAATTCAAGTCATACAAAATTTGTTTTGTTGTAAAAACCACTTCGTAATAGAAAAGGGCACATATTTATATTATTTGAAGGAACTTTCCCAAAGAACTATACATCTATCTGGTATTATATGGTCATAACATGTCCAAGAATGTTGTGTTATTTAGTTAAAAGTAAGTGGACTCCCCTTTTGGGAAAGTTGTTCCAAATATAATGAGTTTTCCCCCCCTTTAAGTTAAAAAAAAGCAAACTTTTAAATTAAATGCTTAGTGTTTATTCATTACAATGTATAGACTAAAAGATAAACTTAAGAGAATAATTATAGACAGCAATGGGGAAAACTCATCTTTTTTTTTTTTTGGGGGGGGGGTTAAAAGAAGGAAAATTTCAAACAAACAATATATTCATGTTACTTGGCGAACAAAATAATAAAGTGGCGAAAAATATATTGTTTTGGCGAAAAAGGTGGCAAAAAAAATAATTGACCCAGGGGAAACCCTGCCGCAAGTTTATTGTTTTCTGTTTGGTATTAAATTAATAATAAAGATCCATTTTGATACATCTTGTGATCCGTTTATTTGGCAATCGCCTTTGGCAGTCAGCAGGGTTTAAGAACATCTGTTGTTCGACCTGTTAGTCAAATCATAGGTGATCCAGGGGGGCCCTGGCTCCCCCTTTTGTGGGAAAAATTTGGTTGATTATATAGGGAATCACTGAAGCATGAATGGAGCAGGCTCCCCCCCCCCCCCCCCCCCCTAGGTCAGTCAGCGGCCCAACCTTATGAAAAGTTCTGGATCTGCCACTGCAAATGGGTTTTGTTTAAATATACCTTTTCACATTTTTGGTCTTTTGAAAAATGTTGTTTGTGCTGTATTTAGACCCCTCTACCAAGAAATTTGCAGTTTTTATCCAACGCAATCATAGGTTTGAACGTTGTTTTCAATTTAGACTTATTTATATTTTTTCGTTTGGGCTAGTATTATATTTGACTTCGAGTTTATATGATCCGTTCATCCTATTTTGACTCTTCAAAATTCAAGAGTCTATCCTTAATTGAGGTAAATTATATGGCCTTCCAAATACCGTTTCGATTCCTTATATCACTGAAGAGACATTAATTGTCGAAATCCGGATATGGTGTACAAATTTTTGCACCTCATGTTTGCCGTATACCATCTTTTCTGCAAGTTTATTGTTTTCTGTTTGGTATTCAATTAATAATAAAGATCCATTTTGTTACATCTTGTGATCAATTTATTTGGCAATCGCCAATGGCAGTCAGCAGGGTTTAAGAACATCCATTGTTCGACCTGTTAGTGAAATGCGTTTTGTTTAAATATACCTTTTCACTTTTTTGGTCTTTTGAAAAATGTTGTTTGTGCTGTATTTAGACCCCTCTACCAAGAAATTTGTTTGCATGCACATGTATAAAAATTGCAGTTTTTATCCAACGCAATCATAGGTTTGAACGTTGTTTTCAATTTAGACTTATTTATATTTTTTTGTTTGGGCTTGTTTTATATTTGCCTTCAGATTTTTATGATCCGTTCATCCTATTTCGACTCTTCAAAATTCAAGAGTCTATCCTAAATTGAGGTAAATTATATGGCCTTCCAAATACCGTTTCGATTCCTAACATCACTGAAGAGACATTAATTGTCGAAATCCGGATATGATGTACAAATTTTTGCACCTCATGTTTGCGATATACCATCTTTTCCGCAAGTTTATTGTTTTCTGTTTGGTATTAAATTAATAATAAAGATCCATTTTGTTACATCTTGTGATCCATTTATTTGGCAATCGCCAATGGCAGTCAGCAGGGTTTAAGAACATCCATTTTTCGACCTGTTAGTCAAATGCGTTTAGTTTAAATATACCTTTTCACATTTTTGGTCTTTTGGAAAATGTTGTTTGTGCTGTATTTAGACCCCTCTACCAATATATACATTTAGACTTACTTATATATATATATATATATATATATATGCATGTATATTAAGATGTCATGTTAATTAGTGCATTTACTTATGAACTTAGAAGCAAAGAAAATTATTTTTAATGATAACAAGGATGTGTCCAGTACAGGTATGCCCCACTCACACTATCATTTTCTATGTTCAGTGGACCGTGAAATTGAGGTCAAATCTCTAATTTGGCATTAAAATTAGAAAGATCATATCATAGGGAACATGTGTATTAAGTTTCAAGTTAATAGGACTTCAACTTCATCAATAAACTGCTTCGCTGAGCGCAGCTGGATATTCCCGCAGAGGTCCAACCCTGAACAGTTGGGGCAAAAATGGACACAATATTCAAGCTTGATACAGGTCTGAATTTGGATTGTAATTAAATATTTGAATTTATTATAGGTTTCTCAATAAATGTAGTCAAAGAACTTGAAATTGGTTATATGAATTGAATTAATTAAAGATTTCTTGCTGTTGTGCAATTCTTAGTAAATCTGTTGTCAGACTATAAACAAATAAAGTTCAATTAATTCTCAATGTCATATTAGAAATTTATGAAAATCAAAAGGGAGCTTACATCAATAGATATAAACAATTCACCAAAGTTTCATGAGAATTGTTGACAGCATTTTTGAGTTATTGTCCCAAAAATGGAAAAATCCCCCTTTTTTTCATGAATAAAACCCTGTAACTTGGAAACGAAAAATCTGAAATTTATAAAAAACGAAAGGGAGCTCATGTCAATAGATATAAACAATTCACCAAAGTTTTATGCAAATTGGTTAAAGCGTTTTTGAGTTAATGTCCGACATGTTGACGACGGGAAGACAACGTTATACAATAATACGTCACGTAAACAGGCGTATAAAAACTACCTTCACCAAAAACTTTAACCTGAAGCGGGACAGACGGACGAATGAACAGACGCACAGACCGAAAAACATAATGCCCTTAGGAGGGCCATAAATAATATTGGAGTAATTCGTAATAAAAGTCAATGCCAAGCTTCTATTATTTCTTCACAAAAAATTATGCTTGACCCAAGTCAGGAACCAGTAATGTGTTGCTGTCAATCAAGTACCACTTATAAATCATTGTTTTCTATAATTGAATGTTGACATGATAGCAGTAAAGATCAGAACACAGACAGAAAAAATAAATCTAATTACTTATCTATACATCCTTGATAAAATGATATAGACGCTATTTTACAAACTTCTAAGATATCAAGTGTACAAATCAGTGTTGAGATGAGGCATGGAAGTTATAAATTTGAAAAGCACAAAAAGCAATACAGTAACATTCCTGGTAACGGTTCAATGATTTAAGACTTGAAACAGCCGCAAGTAAAGGATTTCAGAAGACTTGAATGTATTCTTCCACCAAAAAAGGAGATGTGAAAGTGGTTGTTGTACATGTATATAATTGTACCTCTTTAGGGGTTTTATGTGCTGCACATAGAAAGATCCATTGCTCTGTCGCTGTCATCTGTGTACATGTTTCTGGATTACAGTCAGCCTGTAAATATTATCATGTTCATTATACATTAATGTCACAAAGACATAACAATCACACATATAATGGTCATTTCTTTCAGTGTCAACACAGTTCAAATGTCTTTTGAGTACATGTATACTGGCATAAGTGAATCTTTCTTTTTTTGTATGTTCCCATACACTGTCATGTGAAAAGATGACTTCTGAAATGAACACATAATACAATTTTATTTTGTTAGTTTTTTGTTGACATTATAGTTTTTTATTTTGAGAGGTTTCATCATTCATTCTTTAAAGGGTTGATACATGTAGCTTCTTTACTATTCTCCAAACTTGAAAATACAAAATTTGCCGTTACATCTATATGTAGATGTTTTTTAGGTGTGTGTCAGTAAAACATTTAATTTAATTCGAGTAACCTTTGTTATTTTAAGTCTTCATATATATAATAAAAAGATCAGATCATCTAACTCCAAAAATATTTCACAAAGTTGACAAATAACAATATCATTGTACAACAAAATGTCCCATCTATTTCAGATAACTAATAATATACTTTTGACACAGGGATATGTCTCGCGTTTTGTAATTTTGATAGTATAATGCAAATGTTGAAATTAAAATTGCAATATTCAAACTTGTGAACTATGCAAAACATTCACATATAAAAAAGAAGATGTGGTATGATTGCCAATGAGTCAATCAATTATAACTGAAGATGCAGGGCTAAATATAAACCTACATGAACATGCAAATAAGAAATCCCTATGCTTATAAAACTGTATACCAAATACCATTGACTTTATATACATGTAAGTGGTTTCCTTTAAACTAACCTGAACACAAACTTTAGCTTGTAAATTATGTGAAACATTCAAAGTCAATGTACCATGATGAGAGGGCAGAGTAATATATTCTCCATGTAAAGGAGACTTGCAAATTCTAATACAACTGCATGCCAATACTAGTGGTTCCCCTTAAACTGATCTAATCACAAACTAATACAAGTCAACTAAGCAAAGGTTTCAAAGTCAATAGACTATGACTGAGGGGGTGGGCCCAAATAATCTCCATGAAATTAAGATTTGCCATTGCTAATACACATGTATCCCAAATATCATTGACCTATGAACTGACCTAATCATAAACTAATACCATTTATTAAGTTTTTCGCGTTGGCTTTTTTCACAATTTGATGACCAACAGGGCAGGTTACATTTTCACTGTGTATTAATTTAGCTGAATTGGAAAATACACACATACAAATGACTGTACTGCATTGTAAAAGATGTAAACAAAAAAAACTTGACTGACTGACAGATAATCAATTACAATTAAATACAAGTACTACAAGCTAAAATACACATAGATGTGGAGAATTTTCAAGAAGGAAAGTAATTTGTGTACATTGCATCATGCTAGAAATAAGAGGAGGTTTTAGTAATTTTTGTGATGGTATAAGAGCAATTTTAAAGCATATCTGTTTAAGCATGGTAAATGTGATTTACAATTGTATTTTTATTTTATTTTAACATTATGTGCAAAACTTTCCGGATATTTACAGATTTTGCTAGTTAATATTTTTGAAAATGTCACTGATTGTTTTGTCATTAAAATGTATGCCATGTTTGATTAGCAAATTTAATTATCATGAAAACAGAGAAATATGCACATTACTGTAATCTGTCGATCAACATAAAAATCCTTTAGGGTGAAAAGAGTTTACATATCAATTTTGTGGGAACTGGATAATTAACAGTAAAATGTTTTTCACATTTCTTTAGCTGCCGCAAACAAAGTGAAAATAAAACATGCGAAAAAATTGTGATATACAGTACATAGTTGATGATTGATTGGTGATTGCTTTACGCCGCATCAGCACAAGACTATATCAAAGCGAACATAGTTGAAGCCACCAACACCCACTTAGAATCAGCAACACTAATCTCCCTTTTTTAATTTGTCAAGCCAGACAAAAACCAAAACATGAATGACCATTAATTTTCTACTGCATACTTCAATATTGCTTTTTCTAATGAAGCTTTTTTACCTGCAACTTGACTGATAATCCATTCAATTCCATACAAAACTGCCTGAAAAAGATAAAAAAAAATTCATAAAAATTCTGCACACTGCATCATAAATAAGTAGCACTTACACAGACACAAGTCATAAATTAAACTTGTCCATAAAATATCCATTTATAATTTTAGAGTCATGTTTTTAAGTTCATTGTCTTTTTTCGTAAGTTCAGGGGGATATTGTCTTTTCCCATCCGTTTAAAGTGGAGAGCATTTCATTTATATTAATAAAATCAACAGCACACCTTTATTCTGCTGTTTTATAATATTTTCTTTCATTTCTAATTTTATTACAGTGAGACATCAAAACACTCACTGGGTATGCTTCAAAGTAAATTTCTAATGAAAGAGCCATCTGAACTTGCTGTGCAATATTATTGAGGACCTTTCTCTAACCAATAGGTAATATTTTTTTGTTTGGAATATTTACTTCGTTTTCTTTTATTTGATGTAAACTAAAAGTATGAAATCCCCAAAACAGAATTATATAGATTATGTCTCAAAGAACCTCAGAGGGGAATTATAAACAACATATATATCAGATTGTTACAAGCTGTATATTTCTAGATGTTTCAACACATACACCCTCAGTTATGCATTAAAGGAGTAAGTTCTTTAACTGTTTTTGGCCCTGAATATTAAGTCTATTGTTTCTAGGTAAGGATTGTTTCTTGTTGATATAATAAATAAATGTGGATAGTGTCCACATGTGGACACAGATGATGCCCCCGCTTGCATAGCATATAGTTATAAAGGGACATAACTGAAGAACGGTAAAAGTGATGCTACCCAAATTTGAACTTGATCTGAGTTTTGTGGTAATAAGCATTGTGTGTAAGTCTCATAACATTTGGTTGAGGCTAACTTAAGTAGAGAACAGAAACTAAAAATTCAGCAATTTTTCTATTTGTAAACATGCATAACTCTAGAACAGTTGTGTATAAGTTTTATAACATTTGGTTGAGACAAACTAAAGTTAGGGAACGGAAACAAAAATTCTGCAATTTTTATGTTTATAAAGGGACATAACTCAAGAATGGTAAAAGTGTTCTCACCAAATTTCGTACTTAATCTGTATTATGTAGTAATAAGCACTGTGTATAAGTTTCATAACATTTGGTTGAGGCAAACTAAAGTTAGAAAACGGAAACAAAAAATTTGTATTTAGTTTTGTGGTAATGAATATTGTATATAGATTTCATAATGTTTGGTTGGGGCAAACTTAAGTTACAGAATGGAAACTAAAAATTTTGCAATCTTTCGATTTATAAAGGGGCATAACTCAATAATGGTTAAAGTGACACTACCCAAATTCAACTTGATCTGTGTTTTGTGGTAATAAGCATTGTGTATAAGTTTCATAACATTTGGTTGAGGCAAACTTAAGTTAGAGAACAGAAACTAAAAATTTTGCAATTTTTCCATTTATAAAGGGGTATAACATGTGTTTTATCAGTGCAGTCTTCACAATGAACTTTTAAATCTACAGGCCCGGAACTCAATTTTTGGAGAATTTTAGTTAGATTCTGTTGGCCTGTAGAGATGATTTTTACAGGCCCGAGAGCAATTTTACAAGCCTGGGCTGCTGGGCCTGTGGTTCAGCGTGAAGACTGTCAGTGGAAGTAAAAATTAAACATTGCATTGTATAAAGCATTGATTGTAGTTGATTCAACTATAATCATGGACAAAGGAAGATAACTACAATTAAAAAAAAAAAGTTACATGATATTAAGAAGAAAATAAAAATTTTGCAATTTTTCTATTTATAAAGGGGCATAACTCTAGTACAGTAAAGGTGACGCCACCAAAATTCAAACTTGATCTGTGTTTTGTGGTTATAAGCACTGTGTATAAGTTTCATAACATTTGGTTGAGGCAAACTTAAGTTAGAGAATGGAAACTAAAAATTTTGCATCTTTTCCATTTATAAAGGGGCATAACTCTAGTACAGTAAAGGTGACGCCACCAAAATTCAAACTTGATCTGTGTTTTGTGGTAATTAGCATTGTGTATAAGTTTCATAACATTTGGTTGAGGCAAACTCAAGTTAGAGAACAATAAAATGCTCCGCTGGGGCGCAGCTTGATACGACCGCAGAGGTCAAACCCTGAACAGTTGGGGCAAGTATGGACACAACATTCAAGCTTGATACAGCACTGAATTTGGATTGTAATTAAATATTTGACACAGCATAGGTTTCTGACACAGAATGAAAGTGGTCTAAGAACTTATAATTTTTTAATTTACCTATTCATACATGTGATGGACTGTGAAACTCAGATCAGGAGATTGGGAAATTTTGGTCAGGAGATTAGGACTCAGATCAGGAAGTTTTTAATCGACATAAATTTTGTCGTAAATGTAACCGTTTGCTGTAAAAATGGTCTTTTAAAGTGTGTTTTCTTCAACTTTCCATCCAATTTATTATGTTTATAGTACCCTTGTACTTATAAAGTTTCTCCATCTTTATATTTTACATGTTCAATCTAACATTTTTTTTTTTCAGTATGTTCTTTAAATTTTTTACGTCATATTCTATAAGACATTTATTGCAACCAGAACATTTGTTTAACTATCTGCAAATAGCTTTTGTTTGCATACTCAGAAAATCATTCTAACTGTAAAACAAGGGTCATAGTTATTATATAAATTTCAATTTAAGCCTTGAAAGGAAGTATAGAATCCTCAAATAATTTTCAAATTATTATTTTTTTATTTGTCCTAAGACATTTAAAATCATTTATTTACCATCCTTTTATGATTATTTGTTCAATTTATATTTTATTTATATTCTTTTAAAAGTTTTCATTATTAAAAGGAAAGTAACTTAAAACAGGATAAATCAAGGGAAGTAACCCAATAAATACACAGTTTTTGTTACACAACGGCAGTTAGCCTGAGGTAAAAAATCATTGATTACCAGTATGTTTGACACCCAAGCTGACAAGTGAAGCCATATAATTATGCATGTTAATTGATTTACAGGTAAAATATAACTTCAGGTAATGTGAGTTACACCAGATGCCTGAGATGATATGTTGGGCAGAAATTTTTCATTCATGAAAAATTTCATATCCCACACGGGATTATAATTTTCCTCTTCAACCGGAGGTCGGGAGGAGACTCCTGAAAACAGGATTATTGTACTCCTGTCGGGAGGTTCACATGTATGCTATTCAAACCATATCATTATTATTTGCTTTTATATATAAATCAGAAATAATCAATTTAAAATGGAAAATTTTAAAGAAAAAAAAGGAAAAAAAAATCCCCCCCCCCCCAAATTTTTTGAACCCCCTTATGATTCATCGCCCCCACACTCAATCCCAGCTTTCCCTTTGTGGTATGGTACCTTGCAGTACAATTTTAGAGAGATCCATTCACTTGAACACAAGTTATTGTCTGGAAACTAGAAAAATGCTTGTTTTTTTGTCCCTTTTTGGCCCCTAAATCCTAAACGTTTAGGGCAATTACCCCCAAACTCCAACCCAGCTTTCCCTTTGTGATATGGAACCTTGCAGTACAATTTCATAAAGATCCATACACTTACAAACAAGTTATTGTCCTGAAACTAGAAAAATGCGTTTTTTGCCCCTTTTTGGCCCCTAATTCCCAAAATTTGGAGGAAATTACCCCCAAAAATCAATCCCAGTATTCCCTTTGAGATATGGAACCTTGTGATACAATGTCAGAGAGATCCATACACTTACACACAAGTTATTGTCATGAAACTAGAAAAATGCTTGTTTTTTGCCCCTTTTTGGCCCCTAATTCCTAAAATTTGGAGGCAATTACCCCCAAAAATCAATCCCAGCATTCCCTTTGTGATATGGAACCTTGTGGTACAATGTCAGAGAGATCCATATACTTACACACAAGTTATGTCTGGAAGTTACAAAAATGCTTATTTTTGGCCCCCTTTTGGCCCCTAATTCCTTAACTGTTAGTACCATAACCCCCAAAATCAATCCCCACCTTCCTTTTGTGGTATTGAACCTTATGGTAAAATTTCATTGAGATCCATTCACTTAAACTAAAGTTAGAGTGCGAAAACTAATGTGTATTCGGACGACGACGCCGGATGACGACGACGACAACGCCAACGTCATACCAATATACGACCACAAAAATTTTTTTGCGGTCGTATAAAAACCAATTTTGGGACGTACGTACGTACAGACGGACAAGGGTAAAACTTAATGCCCCCTCCGCTACGGCGGGGCATAAAAAGACATATAAGAAAGTAAAATAGAATCTTGTCAAATTTTCCTTTAACATTCAGGGCTCACACTACTTCAGAATCATAGGAAGAAGTGACTTCTCTTTTTGAAACTGATAGGGAGAAGCGGTGAGATTTAAAAGAGAAGTGCTTGTTTGCTAGCGGCGCTACAATGTTTGGTTTTTTACTATAATATAAAGGGCCTTATGTATCTTATACTTTTTATATTGTTCAATTCTTACCTGAGTATACAATTAAAGTAAATTTAAAAAGTTCAAATTCAAATTCAAAGTTGTTTAAGTTTATCATTTCTAGTTGCACAAATATATTTGTCTTCTTGTCAGAAACTACAAACTAATAATATAACACTAATTAATGTGGATAGTGTCCACATGTGGACACAGATGATGCCCCCGCTTGCATATCATATAGTTATAAAGGGACATAACTGAAGAACGGTAAAAGTGATGCTACCCAAATTTGAACTTGATCTGAGTTTTGTGGTAATAAGCATTATGTGTAAGTCTCATAACATTTGGTTGAGGCTATTTTAAGTAGTAAACAGAAACTAAAAACTCAGCAATTTTTCTATTTGTAAAAACGCACAACTCTAGAAAGGTAGTGTATAAGTTTTATAACATTTGTTTGAGACAAACTAAAGTTAGAGAACGGAAACTAAAAATTCAGCACTTTTTATGTTTATAAATGGACAAAACTCAAGAATGGTAAAAGTGTCGCCACCAAATTTCGTACTAAATCTGTATTATGTAGTAATAAGCATTGTGTATAAGTT